CTCGGTGACATCGCAAAGCAGCCCGTCCACGTATTCGGGTGCCAATAGGCCAAACATTGTCAGCGCGATCTGGCATTGTTTAACCAGCTCGATTACAGCACTATACACAGGTACTCGCTCGCTTGTCCGATAGAGTTGGTAAAACTTTGCCACGGTCGCAGGTGAAGGGGGCTGTAGCTTTAAGCCGGCCCGGCCGGCGCAGGAAAGCCGTTTCAGGTTTTCATTGGCAATAAAATCGTCCTTGTGTCGGAGTACGTCACCATCGGGGACTGGGATAACGGTGAGCGCAGACGGAAACGAGCTTAGGTCAGTTACCATGACGGTGCCCAGAGGTGTGTCTTTTGTTCGTGCATGACATTGCGTGACGGCGTTGAAGTACAGTTTCAAACGCGGAGACCAGATGTTTTCGTCAGTTGGGACGCTGAGGACTCCAACCACGACCTTGTGCGAAGGATCGCCCGTGTACGTCGTAATTACAAATGTTGGGTGTACCCTTGAACAAGCCCATTGCTCAACAATGTATATCTCGTAACCCTGCAGGGCGAGGCGTCGATGCAGCACAATTGTCGCAGGGTCCTCCTCCAGGTACCGAAGGGCTACAGGATCGGTGAACACGAGTTTCTGATGCCCGTGCGGCGGTGATACCTCCATGAGTCCGTTCGTATGTGAGGAGGGACTCTCGTGAGCGTTGATGGAAGGTTTCATAGGATCACGTCGGTTCGCCACGGGAGGCGCAGCCTGTGCGCTGGTAACAGCCGGTGGCATTCTGTAAGCGTGATAGCTATCGCATTAGTGGTAAAGACTGTGTCATATCCGGAGCTGCTTGCTGCTGCCTTCAAATCAATTGTCGATGTAACGTGGTCAAATTACTGAGACCAAGCTCAGAAATGAGGGGATAAATGTTGACCCTCCTGGGGTCTCCTAGCTTTTGTTGGCCTCGCAAGGGAGGAACTTGACATATCCGGAGTAGATACTGAGCATATGTAATCTCAGACAGAGGGTGTAGAAATTCTATAGATTTGCCGTAACATCGTCAGAAGAAGAAGTTCAAATACGGAGCCTAGAGAGGAGTTGCCTGGAAGACAATTGACCGCAACTATACAGCGACGTCACAGGATCCTGGAAGCGGTGAGTCGGCTACAGAGAATGTGCCTGCCCCTGATTAAAATTACTAAACTGCCCAAGTCTACCTTTTTAGAGTACTCCAAACCAAGATCTGGAATCGCGTCTGCCTTACGGAGTTACTCAATAATAATAATACTGGAAGCTGAAGAACAGGATGGACACTGCTGTCTTGTTGGAATGCGAAAGACAGCTCCCCAGTCCAAGAGGCGTGGCGGGCGATGTGTTCAGCCACTATCGAGTGCCTCAGTTTCATATATCGCTAACAAAATACCCTTCAGGGGTCCTTCGTACATTTTTTACGAGGTAATACATTTTCTATTCTGGGCTTACGACGGCGATCGATCTAATCGGTAAATCTCTTCTCCACAGGCCTCCGCAAGGGAAGCAAACAGTGATGAAAAGAAGACCAATGTTTCGAGCATCTGACAAGCAGAAAACTCAAAAACTGACACCAAGACATGGAGCCAGGGCAACTCTTTTTTTTCAAAAATTCCCAGTCGATCCGAAGACCAACTGAAGCGGTCAACTAGGTAGTTTTCAACTAGCAAAAACACGGTCTCGGATGTCTCCTCACTGACACGTGTAAAACCCGTGCACCAGGATGGAGAAAAAAAGAAGAAAAGGTTCAAAGAGACGGGGGGCAGTGGCAGGTTATATACCTTTGCCAAGACCTACTACTTGCGCTAGCGTAAGCGAGGCTTTCCCCTTAGGTGTCCATGAATACGATTGGCAGTATTCCTCTTGCTACGGTACCAAGCATTTTACGTAAGCAATCAAGTATTCGCGATCCTCTGTAGAGACGTACGGAGAAGGAAACACAATAATGATTAGAGCAAGGTCTTTGCGACATTAGACCCAAATATAGACTCCAAGAGATGATGGGAATATTTGGAGGAGCGAACCTTTTCGCTTTTAAAGTACTTCTTTAGTGTTCGAAGTTGTCTTTGCTAGGGAGCTATGCATTAAAGCGGACTACCACCACTCCGCATGGGGGGGCATTTTGCAACGGTTCTCTAGTGGTACTCCGTACTATTAGTCGGAATAGGAAATGCTCTAGCGTCTATTGTTTCGGATATGAGTAGAAGACTACTCCAATTATTTTGAAATAACAGTATCAGGTCTCAGATCCATTTGATTCACTTCCTGAAACCCTACAGCATCATACCATGGCCTTAGGTATCTAAATAATACCCCCGAAAGAGGGGTAAAAGAGCATTATTGGAGAACACGTGATGTCCCACGTCCCATGTCGTAATGGAACTGTCGGTCGCCGATAGCTTATCGAACCTCAACTCAACTCCACCTGACTTTGTCGGTCCTGATTTTCGATTCTGCCCTCTCAGAGGCTGTCCTTACATCGCCCAAAGTCATCAGCTGGGCACTATCCGAGTCACCCATATGGCTATCGCTGTCGTGGTGCTAGAATAGCGGAACTCACTCTACTCCGCTTCAAGCGCCATCTCCGAGTCACCCCAGAGTCGTCATGGACCTTGTCCGGAAGGAGCATGAACGGCTCGCTAAGAGGCTGAAGGCTTCTCAGAATATTAAGAATGTACAAGACACGATAGATCTAATTCAAGCAGCGCGCGAGACTATCGCCTCTGGTTCGTTCCTCTTCGTCGGTTTCGCGGCCATTTTGGTCGTTTGGCGGTGTTCATTGACTGATCATTGCATAGACCCAGGTCAAGCATCCATAACTCTAGCAAAGCTCCAGAATTCCGTCAAATCATCATTCGACTCGATCAATGACAATCTCAAAGAACACCACAGCGCTCTAAACAAGTACAGCAAAGCTCTAGATAAGGTCTTGTCTCCGAGTTATTCCAGCATACCTGGTATTCTCGAAACTGACACTGTGTGTAGCTCTTCAGAGATAAACCACTTCCAAGTACCGAGCATGATGCGTTATCATCTCGAGAGTATCTCATCAACCGCGCGATTGCGATGCACCTGTTACGAGAGGGACAGTTCTCTGTAGCCGCGACCTTCCTTTCCGAAATAGCCGAAAAGAAAGCTTCGAGTCAAGAGAACGATATGGATACGGATGGCCCAGACAACGCCACGAGTCTTCTCGATATCGACGATGTTCCTTCGGGTGAAGTGCGGAAACAATTTGCCATGATGTATCACATACTACAGGAGATGAAGGAGAAAAATAACCTGCTTCCGGCTATACAGTGGTCAAGGGACAACAAAGAAGCTCTGGAGGCACGAGGCAGTAACCTTGAATTCGAACTGTGCCGGTTACAGTTCGTCTGGCTCTTTCATGGCGGACAGGGCCCTGCTGTCGCGGGTCCACAAGCTGCATTAGAGTACGCCAGGCGCGAATTCCATGTTTTTCTMCCCAGGTACTTGGTGGAGATTCAGCAGCTGATGGGGGCAATGGCCTTTGCTCCAAACCTCCAAGAGTCGCCTTATCGGAATATCTTCGACAATCCGTCGGCATGGTCTGATGTGGCGCAATCTTTCACTCGGGAGTTCTGCTCACTGCTGGGTCTGTCTGCCGATTCGCCACTCTACATAGCCGCTACTGCTGGTGCGATAGCACTACCCACTCTGTTGAAATTGCAGACAATTATGAAAGCAAAGAGGACAGAGTGGACCACGCAAAACGAACTTCCGGTAAGTCGAGTCGCGGCAGTCCGCGTCACCCGATCATGTGTAGGGACTTCTAACTGACATACCTTATTCAGGTCGAAATTCCACTGCCACCCTCTTACCTCTTCCATTCGATCTTCGTCTGTCCAGTATCCAAGGAACAGTCTACGGACGAGAACCCCCCAATGATGATGCCTTGCGGTCATGTTATTGCAGAGGAGTCGTTGAAACGAATTTGCAAAGGCACAAGATTCAAGTGTCCTTATTGTCCCAATGAGAGTCATCCGCGAGAGGCAAGGAAGGTCTTCCTGTGAAGAAGGGGTACATCCAACATCCGCCTGGAACAACAACTCGGCTTGATGGAGAATGTGGAGGAGTCTTAGGAATCCTGATTTTCTATTTTTCTTTTCTGTTTGTCAACTATGTCAGGATGGTGGCGTTTTCGGTGTCAAGGTCATGAGGGCATGCGGGAAGTCATATATGTGTATATTCTCCAGATAATCCCAGCTTGGTTTAAGTCTAACCGCAAGCCCTTGCATATTCGATTCCCAGGAAGCTGAAGACATTCCTTTCAAGATATATACCCCACATATGGGTGGGTGTTATCAAACCTGGATGAGATCGCGTAGCCACCGGAAGATAATGTGCTATTTGTCTGTTTCACCCGCTAGAACCCCTCATTCTATTAGGTAGAAAGAGTCCTCTAGGCCAGGATAATGCTTGCTCTCAAGAATGATGTATCAACTTTTCCATTGTTGTCTTAATCAAGGAATCCAATGAATTTCCCGAGGCGATCCGAGTGCCCCACCCTCCTTTACCTATTTCTGACATCTAATTGGACAAGCAGAATCCCGTGACTGCGCGATCATTTGGCGATGCATTCAAAAACCACTTTACGCGTGCAATACCGGTCTTTACGCGCCTGCAGTTGGTCCTTCGAACAGGGACATTTGTGATAGATGCACAAAGAAAGGTCCAACAATGTTGACTGGTGTCTTAAGAATTGTAGATGTCTAAATCACTCAGCAGCACAGAGAACATAAAAGAAACCGGTTTCCAACGACAGTTGAGTCTTGGGCTTCTTGCTCTGTGGATCGCCTGTTTTCGACAGTATCAGTATCATCCCCTTGATCGTCGTACTTACAGACGCAGGTACAGATACAAGCATGCGTCAGCTGTCTCACCATTGACCAAGTAATTGCAGCTTTAGTCCATCAACCCCTGAGACCCTACCATTTTCTTCCAGCTCGATTGACTCGCTCAGCCCATCTTGAACGATGTTGACCCAACAGCAGAGCAGTAGCAGCCAAAACATGCTTTCCATCAGACGCCCATCCCAGAGTCCCACCGACAGCTTATCCTCGCGATATCGCGCTGGAAAAGCGACAGCGTCCCACCGAGTGAAGAAGCCCGTCCGCGACTCTCCTAGTACTCCATCGCGACGTCTCGACCGACGCCAGAGAACAGGCAGTTCCCCAGACAAGAAGTAAAACCACTCTCCTTTCCATCGCAGTCAGTTGAATGCTAAGCTAACGACGCCAGCTCGTCAAGTACATCAATAGTCACCATCTCCGTCGGCCCAGAACAGCGCCTCTTCGCCGCCCACGAAGACACCCTCTGCACATCCCCATTCTTTGCAGCCGCCTGCTGCCGAGCGCAATCGCAATCGCCATCGCCATCGCCAGGATCGCCTCACAAGCGCATCAGCATCTCCTTGCCGGACGAGCAGCCTGAGATCCTATCCTGCATCCTCGAATACCTCTACAAGGGCGACTACACGCCCCGAGCCATCTACAACCGGCACCGCGATACATGGGAGCTCGAGAACACCGGCCTCGACACAGACGGCCAAACCACCAACGCGACCATTTTCCACCAGGCTACTGGCTCAGTGATTCTGAGAGATACAGCCGTTTAGTAGGTCTGCTCTTTAACCCCCGACTCAACCAGACGACTAACATCGCGGCTTAACAGCTGCGCCGCGCAAAAGTACGGCCTCGAGCCCTTGAAGCGCCTTGCCTTGCGGAAGCAGGGCCTCCACTCCGGTATCCAGTGCAGTACCATCCTGAGCAGCGCTCGCTACGCCTACGCCAACACCTCGGATAACGAGTCGAAACTGCGCGCTCATTATCTGGCCCTGATTATCCGGAGCCGGTCGACGTTCAAGCGGAGCGGGACTATGCAAATGGAGATGGAGAAGGGTGGGAAGTTATTCTTCGACTTGTTTGTCGCGATGTGTAATCATATGGTGTGTACTGTCCTCTCTGCGGTCTTTTGTATGGATGGAGCTGACTTTTGTCTTTTGCTTAGGATGATCTCACAACTGCTAAGCCTTCTCTTGCTTAGTTCCAAATCCTAATTATCTATCGACTTATTAGTCCCTTTCAAATCCAGACTGCTTGTCGCGCCTTTCTACTATACCCTTCTTTCTATTTCAATTTGTTTTTCGCGCCTTGAAGGCCACAGTGTACAGTAACTTTGTTTCATGCCACTTCTATAAAAAGCGAAGAAAATGCGGTATCCTCTCAACTTAGTCAATGCCTTCTAATATGTGCATGCAAAGATTTGGAGTACAGGCGTCATGGATAGATGCTCTTGTTCATAATCTCATGTCTAAGTCATACAATGATGATGTAGGCTTCGCCATAAACTGTCTTCCGCTGATGTATGTCAATTACCGAACAATCCTGTCGGACCCATGCGGCAGGAAGTGCAGCCTGGTTGATATTCACCTTTTCCTTGAGGTGACCATCCTGCCGTGGCTATGTAATACAACTTAGTTGTAGATGATAGCCTATTGTGTCGCATAGGATGGCTATTCATGCAGCGTAAAGGATATCGTAGAGATAGGCTGTATATATACAGCTTAAGGCTTTCGTCGGTGGCAAGCACTTGGATGCCGTGAGTTTCAGATCCTGTCGGGCGACCTCAAATTCGGGTCTAGCCCGGCTCTGGCTCAAGCGCAGCTTAAATCGTATGCTTGAATGGTGTAGTGGAGTACTTAGACACCGGTTCCTGGGAAGGCGGTACCACCCTTGCTCAACACGACCATGCCTCGCTCCCGGGCAATGTAACCCTTCATAAGTCCCTAGCAACATTCAATCAGTCTGTGAGCGCTCCATGTGACGAATAAGAATGGCATACCTTGTATATGAGGTTAGATAGTAGGCACTCAACCTCATCAATGTCTACCCGGGACCTGTCATCCGCATGCGTGCCGATCCTCAGCGCTGCTGCGAACTCGGTAACCGGAACACGAGTTCGGCGAATGGGAGGCTGGCCGTCCTTGGATTCCTCGAACCCTCCAGCGATGAAAACCTTTCGGAACAGATTTCGAAGAGCAATATCGCGTCCTCTTTCGAGCGGTAGATAGATGCGCCTCTTGACGAATTCCTCTTCTCCGGCGCACATGGCTGTGTCAAATCCAACCAAATCCCCCTTTCGTATATATTCGCACAAGGGGCGGAACAGTTTCTCCAATCTGGGAAAGGGTGCGAGAAGTTTTTGGGATGGTAAAGTATGGGTTGTGACGAGGTGGCAGGGGACAAGATATGTGAGGATCAGCCTGCACAAATTAGCGAGAGTATAGAGACATGCGCTAATATTCACGTACTCTCGGTTTTTGAATGCGCCCTTGTGGCACATTTTCCACGCATATGACAGGTGTTCTTCCGCCTGCGGAAGGTCATCAGAATAATGGTTTTTGATATTAATGGAGATTTGTCCATGATCGTCTTACCTCCGCGTAATTCTCGTCTAGAAAGTGAATAACACCGACATAGTACTTAAATGTGACTATGTGGGACTTGGGGAAAGCTTCTAGCTCAGGGAGATCGGCGGATGAAGCGCTAAGAGCGCGGAGAAGGTTCTTTGAGAGTCCGACTGAGTTGAGCTAGGTTTGTCAGACGACGTTCAGGAACGGAAAGGGCTTCAAACGTACTTTGAAGTATGTCTTGAACAAAAGATTTGTGGTGTTGTAGATACCCCATTTCCGGGATTCTTCAATCGGCGCCCTTGAATCGTACTCAGTAATTTGCGAAAAGGAATGTAGAGGGCCAGTGCAACTACACACCTGTCGCTCAGACAAAGAGTAAACATCCGATTGATTATCCGGGCGGCCTCCTCGAGCTTCGCACTCTTCTCGAAGTCCGCAGCGACATCATCTTGGAGCTGGTCACCAAAACCCATGGCTGCTTTAGAGGAAATCTCGGCATCTGCTTTGATCGCAAACACCCTCAAGTATTTCCCCACCACATAGAGACACGGGACCGTCCATGCTTGAAGCCCGAAGTTCGTGTAGCCTCTGATAAGAGCATTTGCCACATGTTTCCAAGTATCAAAGACCTTGACCCAGCTGGCCGACGGGTTGTACTCCTCGAACTTGATGATCTCCCCTACAGCCTTCCAATATGCTGCGAAGATGTCAACCCAGCCATTCTGCTCTTGTTTTGGGAGTTTCACGCCGTTTGCTTGGAAGAGCGAATAACGCAGATCTGCCGAAATATGTTCAGAGTCAGAAAAGTTGTAGAATGACAGCAGGCGATCGGGGCTTTCGGAGGTTGCGATGGGCGTAAGAGCTGCTGCCAAACGAGGACCAGACCCGTTCTTCTGGCCTTCCTTAAAGTCTGTAAAGACAGACGCCATGGCAGACGGTGTGTTGTAACCAGAGTCCTAGATTGTCGTATCGAAGCGTCAGTGCTTTACAATCTTAGAAAGATCTTCACCAAACAACCCGGACAATCTATGGAGCTAGGCTCTGGTGTCATCATCCATTTCCTGCCTTCTCCATCGACGGTCGCGAACATGATTGGGGGTTAGGTGGGGAACAACAGCGCGCAGCCGTGGATTCCTGAGGCCCTTATCAGCCGCTGTGGCTGAGCACCCATATCGGGTATAGCGCCGGAGTCAAGCCTCAGCTGCCCGGTCGCTTAGGCGAAGGGCGGCAGCCCTAACTCAACAAGTTTCACAAATCCTCATTTTCGACCAGACCAGCCGGCACACCTATCTCGACAGTCAACCACAACAGAGTCGACAAAAGTGAGCACCACCCTCGTTGTCTACCTTTTTGTCGTTTGCATTTGATACTAACCACATTTCCAGATGGGTGAGTGATATTTTCCCTCGATAACTCGCAAAATTTCCCCGTCGGATCGGTTGCAATGGTTTCCTGCGAACGTCGAACGACACAATTTCGAAGAATGGGCACTGGACGACAATGACAACGGAGGGATACATCGATAGAAGGAGGGAAGTGCGCAAGATCTTTTGGGAATACGGAATGAGACTGTTCATTGAAGAAGGAGGTCGAGTTGAACTGCGGTCGCACATTGTCGAAATTTTTCCAGATGCAGACATGAACATACGCGCCATCGACCATGACGTTCGCACGGAAATCAATGCAACGATAACAGACTTTTTTTTATTCGGATTCGGATATACTTGAACGAACAGTCACTGACTGGTGTGTCTCACAGGGCGTCTCACCGAGTACCAGGTCATCGGGCGTCACCTGCCCACCGAGGCTAACCCCACGCCCAAGCTGTACCGTATGCGCATCTTCGCGCCCAACACCGTTGTGGCCAAGTCGCGCTTCTGGTACTTCTTGACCCAGCTCCGTAAGGTCAAGAAGGCCAACGGTGAGATCGTCAGCCTCAACGTGGTATGTCTACTATGGGAAAGGATTCTTCGGTCAAGATGAGGTCGACTGACTTGGTCTCTTTTCTTGTTTGCTAGATCCACGAGAAGCGCCCTCTCAAGGTCAAGAACTTTGGTATCTGGCTCCGCTACGACTCTCGCTCCGGTACCCACAACATGTACAAGGAGTTCCGTGAGATGAGCCGGACCGACGCTGTTGAGGCCCTCTACCAGGACATGGCTGCTCGTCACCGTGCCCGCTTCGGCTCCATCCACGTATGTTGAAGCGCATTCCTGCACAAACGTTCCTCATGAGATCTAACGAACTGCATCCAGATCCTCAAGGTTGTCGAGATCGAGAAGGCCGACACCATCCGCCGCCCCTACATCAAGCAGCTCCTCCAGAAGAACCTCAAGTTCCCTCTTCCCCACCGCTCCGCCAAGCCTKCTGGCAAGAAGGTCTTTGCCTACTCGAGACCCTCTACCTTCGCTTAGATATGACGTTTTGGGTTATGGGAGATGGAGTGTGCGGATCAATGACTATGTTATGGCCATAGCATGCAAGAAGGACACGGATCACGCGGAGAACAAGGCGTGTATCTACCGCCCAGAAGATGGGACGGATGTTTTTGATGTCTCTTTAGTCCTCTGCAGCGACCCTTGCAAGTTATTTATCAAAAAAAATTACCGGGGTTCTTTTCTTTTTTAATACCATGGTTCTATCTGAGAGGTAGTCCGCGTAGAATGTCTCTGATGCGTCTCTGCATGCAGTAACATACTACAGGCAGGGTGAAACCGGTAAGATCTCGGCAATTGAGTGGGTGATGGATATTTGCACGATGTTTTAACACCACACATGTGGTGATGGTCGGGCTATTCCGTAGAGATCTAACTTCACCGTTCGAGTCGGATCAGCGCAATTGACGACAGCCGATGCCACAAACTGTCGGTATATAGCCGTCCAAGGTCATCTCTCTGTAAAGACCACAACTATAGCGTTTACATGGAACAAATACTCGGCTTAGCATACAAGGGCATTCATTACCTATCTAGAGAGGTACTTGTGAAAACCCCGGTCAATTACTAATGATCACGAATACCGTACGGTTCAGGTACAGGTATTGCGTCATGCGGACCAGTAAGACGGACAGTGGGAGACTCCGGGCAGCGAGGACCTAACTCCGTAGGTACCTATCCACGGGAGTACTAAACATCCGCCCGCTCCTCTTGTTTCTCTTCCGGTTTGGGTTATCCTTCAATTGACTATCAGCTTGTGTCAATTACATACACAATGTTTGCGCGTCAATCTCTTCGCTTTGCTCAGCCCTTGAAGCAGGTAAATAAAATGGCTCCGAACAATTTTGGGTCTTGGTTCTAGGACCGGAGGGAGGACATCGGCTGACTGACGCGGTCGCAGGGCTTCCGCAAATACTCCACGGAGGCACCCTCCAAGGGCAAGTCTTCTCTAACTCCCGTCTACATCGCAGTCGGTCTCACTGGTCTCGGTGTGGGATTGTACCGGTACTACTCTACCAGCCCGGAGGCTCCCCCTGCCGAGCGCCCGAAGGTTTTTACCGGTGGTGACCAGGGTTGGATTGATCTCAAGCTGGCTGAGGTCGAGAGACTGAGCCCCAACACCAAGAGATTCCGTTTTGAGTTTCCTGACAAGGAGGCTGTCTCTGGTCTTCATGTCGCATGTGGGTAGACTCGTT